ACGCTATTAATGGTTCGATACCATGCCGTGCGATGTGCTTTACCCTTTCCCAAGTCGCCTCATTCTTTGTAACAACAATACATACAAGTATACAACTAAGGCCATTACTCATACAGTCGGCTACAAAGTTCGATACAGGTTTTTATACACGCTGATGATCCATAATTTGTACAAAGGCTACTCAATGATGTAATTTTCAGTCAACAAACTCACTGTGTTGGGTTGAGCCCCTGTAGTTCAGAACTCGTATCTGACAATTGGAAACCTTGGTTTGACTTATTTATAACGACCGGATTTCCAGAATCATCCAGATAAATAAAAGCAATGTCACCAGGCTTGTAATCCCCAGAAAGTAGAGATTCACTTACGCGATCTTCAATAATTTGTGTGACTGCTTGCCTGAGAGGCCGGGCACCATAACTTCGGTCGTAACCTCGCTTGCAAATCAAGTTCTTGATTGCCTCAGACACCTCAAGTCCGATCCCCAAAGAGTTGAGACGTTCTTTCACCTCACGCAGCATTATATCCAATATCTCGAGCATCTGAAATAAGGGAATGTGGTGTTCATGATTGGTTTTGCCTAAAATCAAAGTCTTTATCAACCATGTCATTTGTAGTAATCTCAGCATCTTTCATTAGCTAAATACACACGCTAAATTCAATTACTTTTTCAACATTACCTAAATAAATAAATAAAGCTAACAACTATTTTGCAAATTGCATCAACCAGGGGAGTACTTTCTTCACAAATTTCAACGGAATATTCGGAGGCATAGATGTCTCATTTCCTTTCCAAATTGCACCTATGAACTTGGTGAGGGGTTAATTCATAAAACAAATTATTATTATTATTATTTATTTTTTCTATAGCTAGATTTAATTCTCTTTTTTCTTCCCTGAGAGTCTGTCATAGTTTTGCCCATATGCTCGCCCAAACTAAAATCCAGCATTATATCGCTTTTTTAGTGCCTCACTTAATATTTAGGCAGTAAAAGAGACCTCGGGACCCAAACCTGAGGTTTCTCGAGAGGACGGAACACAACTACTTCGTCAATCCTGTTGAGTAACTCTGGCCGGAAGTAACGCTTCAACTTTTCCATCACCCGAGCTTTCATCCTAGAATAAGAATTCGATTCATCTTCATCGCTATCGGTATCCCTATTGGGAAAAAAACCGAAGATATTTCCTCTACGCTTCGCGATGCCAGCGGACCACACATTGGAAGTCATTACTACTAGTGCATTCTTGAATGACACTCTCCGACCCTATCAATCAAATTCCAAAGAGAGATTTATAATATTATAATAATAAATAGGGTCAGATACATAAGTAACCCCCTCGAGTCTAGCCTTCTAACAGAACAAAGGGACATAATGGGGGAAAAACAGAAGGCAAATTCTCGAAAATTATAAAAACACATCTACATGTGTTTCTATCGTACATAAATTGCAGTTCATCAGGTGTATTTGTTAAGAAAAATAGAAACTTCTACATGGTACTTGTAGTACCTAATGGATGTATCTGTAGCTTATGAAAGATAATGGTTGTAACTAGGATGTTTTTTTGTTAGGCCATATTTCAGGGGTAGTTTTTATATTCATTCCAATGAAAATTCATAACTAGTTGCATAAAATATTATGCAAATTGGATAATCACTGAAAAACAAACAAACCTGAGAATCTGTCAAGTGACCATCTTCAAATAACTGCAAGAGGATGTTGAATATATCTGGGTGAGCTTTCTCAATCTCATCTAACAACACAATGGTGAAAGGCCGTTTTCTTATAGCTTCCGTAAGAATACCTCCTTCCCCATAGCCTACATAACCTGGGGGAGATCCAATTAACTTGCTTACAGTATGACGCTCCATATATTCACTCATGTCCAATCTTAGCATAGCAGACTCCTACAGCAAGCGAAAAATCAACAACCTTTACTCTTAACATACTGCACCAAAATTTGCCCGCAAACTAGAAACAAAAAGCAACATCCCCCCAATTAAAACTCCGGAGATAACTGTAACTAAATAAAACATCTTTCAAAAACTTAATGAAAATATTCTCGTCTTTCCTTAATAAACCAAATACATATTCAGGTCCAACATCCCTTACCATGTATAGCTTAAAATTCACATACAAAACCTAGACTAATATTTTGAGAAACCGACTCCAGAGATCTGTTGTAAATTGGTAAATGCTTCCTTTGAATAGTCAGGCGAGGTCATTCATATTGCTAACTGGACTTGTTCACTTCATTTTGGTCAAAGTTGTTCATTATATGCGTCAGTCTCAACTATGTTAATTTTATGAAAAAGCAAGATCCTGGTACTAGGCATAAGCTTCATTTAAATTTATGTTGGGATGAGATTTGTGATCAAAGCAAAAATAATATAGTGGCCAAGTCGGTTGTGCGTTCTTACAGAACCGAAATAAGTTGCGGCCAAAGCTTTGGCAAGTTCAGTTTTCCCAACACCAGTGGGACCACAGAAGATCATGGAAGCAATTGGTCTGTTCGGGTCTTTCAAGCCAACACGAGATCGCTTGACAGCCCGACTTATTGCAGCAACAGCCTCATCTTGGCCAATTACTCGTCTCTTTAGCTGCTCGTCAAGACCCACCAGAAGCATTCTCTCATCAGCTGTTAGCTTCTTAACTGGGATTCCTGACCAGAGTGAAGCAACAGCAGCTATATCCTCAGGGCCAATCACCGAGATTCTGAATGAGACAAAAAATGTAAAATGGAAAAGAAAGAGAGTTTGTAATTATTCGAAGTAATTTTATCAAGTGATGGAAGCATTGAGACATACTCATCTTCTGACAATAAGCGTGCCCCAGAAAGATTTTGATTGACGATTTCATCCTCCTCCCCTTTTGAAATGTTATCCTTCTCAGTCAGTTCTGACGCCAGTGGCATCTTAACATGCATCAGTTGCATATGATGTGAGTGTAAGATAAAATTTAACTATAACAGTCGATTAAATATATATCTATGAAGCAAGACAAATATCATACTGCTTCATGCATGCCCTGAACAGCTCTGATTTCCTTCCAGTAATCGCTAGGTGACTTAGAAAGTATTGAAGTTTGCTCTTTCTTTCTCAATTTAGATGCCTCCATACGAGTTCTACTTCCTGCCTCATCGATAAGATCAATAGCTTTATCGGGAAGATATCTATCTGAGATATATTTTGATGATAGATACACCGCAGCATTTATGGCCTCCATAGTGTATGCACATTTGTGATGATATTCATACTTCTCTCGCAAGCCCAACAGTATCTGAACTGCATCTTCCTGGAAGATGCCAAAACACATAGCAGAGAAGTTGGTAAGACTAGCTACAATAACGATTACAATTGATATGTGCTCATGTCCTGTACGTCAATTAAGATTATATCACGACCTCACTTGGTTCATCGATCAAGACAGGCTGAAATCTTCGAGCCAAAGCTTTATCCTTCTCAAGATGCAATCTGAATTCGTCCATTGTTGTCGACGCAATACACTGCCAAAGACAAACGAAATGTGTAATCAAGCTCCACTTAATTCTATTCAAATGCAAAAATTAAGTCATTTGGTATATTGATGCTTTAACAAACTTCAAACCTAGGAATTATGTAGTCTTTTATAAATTGGTCATATCCATACTTTTCTTTATCTTTTAGTAATTCGGGAAGGCTGGCAGAGATACCACCCTTTATATACAGTGAAAAATGATGAATGAAAGCAATTATTCATTGTTTCAATAAAGTTCAAGGGTAAGTGTTGAAACTATATTTTGTTATTGGTTCATACAAGCACTATGTCCATTGCAAATGGAGCTGGAAGAGTCATTGTTGACAATTCTCCTGGCATAGTGCTAATAATGGACTAGATCAAAATGGCTCAATTAAATTCTAGTGCTTCTTCTATTAGTGAAGTTTCTAGAAAAAAAAAAATATATCAAACGACGCAATGCACCTTGGGTCGCTACGGAAACAACCTCCTTGTATACTTACAAGGTTAAGGTCTGCGTACAACTGACCCCCCAGACCCCCAACCAGTTGGGAATATACTGGGTATGTTGTTGTTGTTGGTTCATACAAGCACTAGCTAGATAGACTATCAGCTTTGAAAAAAACAAGGGTTATATTTCACATTTCCTGAATGGCATCAACTAAAAGATATAGAACTGCAATTAGGAAACATGCATTACGCATAAATCTTTACCTGCAATTCACCACGTCCAAGGGGTGGCTTCAATATATTGGCTATGTCCAGACCAGATCCCTTGTTTCCTTTTCCTACTACGCCAGAACCAATAAGTGTGTGGACCTCATCAATAAAGAGGATTATATTTCCTGAAAAGAGTCAACATGAAGCTGAGCCATGATCCACAGACTTTAAAACATAGCCTAAGCCAAAGAGAAGCTAACCTGACTTCTTAATCTCCTTTATCAACGAAGTAACACGTGCCTCCAACTCACCCCTCTCCTTTGCCCCTGCTATTAGTAGACCTATATCCAAGGACAATATGCGCTTTTTCTGTCCAAAAGAAAAGAAATTGATCAGCACAAGAAGCAACATTAAGTATCAGCATGCTCATTTGACTCTTATAATACTCCATAACAACACATTGACTGAAAATATTTTTCGCACTGAAAAAGGAAGCACACCGTAAGAAATGAAGGAACATTTCCATCAGCAATATTTATAGCCAGTCCTTCTGCAATTGCCGTCTTCCCAACTCCAGCTTCACCAAGAAGAATTGGATTACTCTTGGTTCTTCGGCAAAGAATTTGAATGATCCTCTGTACTTCAGTCTCTCGACCAATTACAGGATCAATCGATCCATTGCTAGCACGGGCAGTGAGATCCTCACAGAAACGGTCAAGAGCCTTTTTTTCTGTTAAATACAAAAAAGTAACTTTCAGAGTGATTTACTGAGTTTCTGAAATATATTAGCTGATTGACAGAACAAAAACCGGTACCTACCTCTTGCCATTTCGAGGGATTTAGCATGAGTAGCTTTCTCGGGTAATATTTTATCTCGTGACTTCCTGAATGCAGGGGAAGATGGCTCTTTTCCTTCTTTGGCAAGCTCACCTTGAAGTCTGGAGACTGCTTCAGCGGCCAAATGATTCACATTTACTCCTAATCTGAAACCATTTCAGTCTAGTTCAAGATATAACAAAATGGAAAAATTGAAAAACAATGGCACCACCTTCCACTTAATAAGCATGTCGAGCAGCAGGGAAAAACAGCAAGTGGGTTAAAAACAGTTTTTTTATGTCATTCCCGTGTTCCTCCCTAGCTTCCCTAACTATTCTTAGCTTACATGCCACCACTTTAAACATCACAGAGTAAATCAATATAATTTAACAGAATCCAACTTAAATTCATAAGCCAATGTTATCATATTCACATTAGAAGACAACAAATTACCCAAGTACAAGTTATCTACAATCCTGAGCCACTACCATTTGTTCAAATACAGCAGCTGCCAAAATCTCCATCACGCACCAATCAAACAAAAATGATACATGCAACCACTAAGATATATGTACAATCACACAGATCACTAAATCATAATAATAACTAGTAAATATGTGTTTATTCAGAGTACCTCTTCAACACACGATTTACGCTGCCATCATCAACCGTGAACAGCCCCATAGCAATGTGCTCTGGGGCTATGAAATTATTCCCCATCGTCTTTGAGTACTCAACAGCCGCCTCGAAAACACGCTTCGCACCAGCAGAAAACGGCACATCCGTGGCCGAAATCTCGGATTGACTCCCGCTATTCCGATAGTCTCCTTGCCACAAACTCTGAACAGCTTCTCGCGCCACATCAATGGTGATGCCCGATCCCAGGAACCCGTTTGGGGCACGATCCTCCGCTATAAGGCCCAGGAGCAGGTGCTGCGTGTACACCATATCCTTGCCTAGAGCCTTGGCCTCTCTCTGGGAAAACATCACCGCCTTGATCGCACGCTCCGTGAACCGCTCGAATATTCCAGCAACCACGACCAACGAGCGTCTGTATTTCTTCACCGGCGCTGAGCTGTGCCGCAATCGGGGGCGGGGGAGGGAAATCCCCAAGTAGGACGACGAGCTGCTGGTGCTGCAAGCATTTACAGGATTCGCGGTGTAGGAAGACGAGGAAGGCCAATTCGGGGGAAATGTAAGGGCCACGTGGCAGCGGCGGTGGGATGTAGGTACAGATACACGGCGGTACGGGCCGGAATTCAACGAGGAGTTGACTGAGAGCGGCGGCGAACATGATAGCTCCATTGAACAATGAAATATGTTAAATTATTTACAACAGAAATATTAAATATATGTATGTAAAACAGATTGTGTGTGGAGGAGGAGAAGGAAAAGAATATGTACAGAGAATGAAAAAGTTGAATGAGATACTAATTAGAGATGAATTTTTGGCGCATAAAAAGTCCCGGAAAAGGGGATAGATTTACAGAGGATTTTGGTGGCTTTGGAGGTCAACATGAAAATAACGAATGAAATGCTACGGTCCCGTTATAGAAATATTTTATCGAAATTTGTAATCGTTAGATTATCATATAAGTATTTCGTCAGAATTTATAATCGTTAGATCATCATTAACCGCCGTGGAAAGTTGATCTAACAATTACATACTTCGACCGAATAATCTATAACGAGACTGTAGAATATGCCCGAACAAAGATACAATGGCCAAGTCACCCAAGGTGTACTTTTATGAGATTTTTTTTCCAAATTACAATCACAATTCACATGCGTTGATGGTCGACTTTCATCTCTCAATAATTAATATATTTATTTATGCTTGTTGGATTATTTCTTCCTATACGAAATGTGGGACCACGTACAATGCGATAAATTCACATGCTAATTTTATAATTGCATGAAAAGGAAAAAATAAAATAAAAAAAATTCTAATTGCATGATAAACGTATGTTACAATTTGGGTCACGTTCAGGGCTAATTAATTCTGATAATATATACTTTTTTTTATATATATAGAGATGTTTGATAAGTAAATGTTACTTTTCATAAATGCAGTAGTTTATAAAATAAAACAAATAAAAGGTGACACTGGTGAAATAAAATTAGTTCGGTCTAAACTATGTATTAACTTTGATTATTTAAGTATTATTCATAGTTTCTGAAAAAAAAAAAATTAAAAGCATATACCACCATTGCTGCCATTTATTGTTTAGTATAATTTGGAGATAATATATATTTAGGGAAATGCTATTGAATAATAAAACAACACTAGTACTAATACTCATTTACAACATGGGTGTTGAGTTAATAAATATATGTGTAAAATTATTTATGTTTAATATCAAACCTAACTCGAGAGCAAAAATAATATTAAAACAACATCACGAAGCATAGATTTTTGTCATGTCAGCATTCGAAGTGTGAAAATCTGCCACCTAGATTCAACACGTTTTGAATTAATATATAGGGAGGGATATTAAAGATGACACTAGTGATTATTACTTTGAAATTATTAAATTTACACATTGCTTCACTGGTGATAGGTATGAATAAATAAATAACTTAATATTAGTAAGAGCAGTTAATCAACTATGAGTAAAATAATTTATTTGTACAAATTGTCAACATTGTATAGTACGAATATAAACGTTTTTAATACTTTGGGGACATGAATGTAACTCATCCAAATTATGCATTAAATTAACTTAAATGTGTGAGTTGTGTGTTTCAAAACACAAGTAATGATATTGTGCACGTATACAAATGTAAATAAAATTTTATAAATTATACGTGTGTGTATAATATTTAAAATAAAAAAGTTAGATAATCGTCATCTCACATATTTTAAATTCTATTGTTAGTTAAAATTAACAATATAGGTACAAATTATTGACTTACATATTAATTACTATTTTTTAATTGTAATTTTGCAATCTTGAGTGGTTTTTTTTTTCTTTTTTTTTTTAAAAAAAGGGGGATCAATACTGGTTCCCCAATTCCTCCGGGTGACTCGAACTTGGGACATGGTACACGCCGAGCGAAGGTACACGCCACTGCGCTAACCCCTCTTCGTCGTGCAATCTTGAGTGGTTAATACCAATTAATTGAACTGATAAAGTATTAAAATTGTTATTATAGCAATTGTGTACATAACTAGGGACTTGCTTATGCCATAAAGAATGATAAACTAATTTTAATAATTAAATGCTTAATGAGCTGAAAATAACATAATAATAATTTAAATAAATAGTTGAATAAAAAAGATTTGAAACAGTATGATTTACGATTTATTAGTAGTAGTTGGAATTAAATAAATAAATAAATAAATGTACATAAATACTTGATCTATGCAAAATGTAAGGTTTCTTCCAAGTATAATTGAGCAAAAAAAAAAAATGTTTTGCACTAAATGATTACCTACAATTATATAAATATGCATATATACAATCTAAAATAGTTTGTTATAAGTTTTCAGAGATATTTTGAATATTTTATATATTATTTTTATGGCCAAATGTAAGAATTAGGAAAGCAACTGGTTCTTACACGCAATCTAGCAGCTAATGAACAAGGTAAGACGAAACAAGGAAAGAATGGCTTCCAGGACAAATTGAAGGAATTCCACGACAAGTGGAGAAAGAAAAGAACAATTTTTGTATCTATGGATTTAGAAATATAAACGGACATTTCGTAATTTTTTTATGCCCTTAAATAAAAGAACAATTTTTATGCCCTTATGTATTGTGAGTGAATTGTGAATTTATGTTTAAATAATATTTAAAATAATATGATTAGATTTTTTTTTAAACGATAAATATATTAAAAATTAAAAAACTCCCAAGTGTCAAATGACACGACAAGAACCAGCGCAAAGAGTGGGTCCACCCCCATTAGAATTACACAATCAACTAAGGGGGTATAATTATCCGCTAATACAAAAAAACCATAAAATGTAGACACACACAACTTGAATACAGAGACTAGAACTCTATTGCAAAGACTAACACCCGATACAGCTGGACAAAGACAACCTACAAAAGAGAAAAACTAAAAAAAAAAAAAGACAAACAACTCACACATATTCAATACAAAACTCTATCCTTACTACCAACCACAAAATCTTAACTATCCCAATGGAAGCGGCAACCGAAGATAACCCAAGAAACGTAATCAAACCTGAACTCAGATCTATCAACTCCAAACCCCTGGACTTAACAGGTTATGGCTAACTTGACCAAAACAACAAGGTCTGATCCTCCTTCCAAATGGATCACCACCGAGCAACAACTTAAGAACCCGACAACTGACACATCTCCCAACACAACCCGACACCAACAAAATAAATCAAGAGAACCCATACGCCCGACACACCTAAAAAATTGGATGGCCCCGGCCCCGGGGGAGATGCCCTCTCCAGCTCCAGCTCCGACCACCACGAGAGCGGCGACCTTCGCGGAATCTTTCTGAATCGGCAACTCGTACTACCCAACATACTCACCCGGATGGGGAGCACTAAAGCATAAAGAAAGGCTGACGCCATGGCCGTTAGGGGTGTTCATGCTCCAGTTTTAACAAAAAAAAAAAGTCAATCTGGACCACAGATCGGTTAAATGGTCGGTTAAAAAGTCTTAAAAAAGCCGATGGTTAATTTTTTTAAAAATCCGGAATAACCGGTCTGGTTAACGGATTACCTACAGCAAACTGTCGGTTTAACCGGACCGGTAAATATTAAAAAATATAACAAATATATATATACATTCAGTCATTTACTATGACCGACAAATACAATATATTCACTTTCACTTTTTGGCCTTTTGTTGACTTAATTTTGTAAGACACGATAACTTTTCACTTCTTCGGTTTTTCCCACTTTTGTATTTTTATTTTCAGATTTTCCCACCTTCTCTTCCTAAGTTTTAAAGTTAACCCTAATTTTTTCCATCTTCCCACTCCCAGGCTTCTCAGTTCCCCGACCTTTTTTCGACTTATTTTTCCTTCAACTTCCTACCTTCTCAGGCTTTCACTCACGTCACGACAGTCGCCGCACTCTTCGTCGCCGGCGCCGCAAGCACAGGTGTGTTTTATTTTTCTCTATTTTTTTCGATTATAATCTCTTTTGGGCCCAAAATTGAAAAATAAAAATTAAGCCCAAAATAAAAAATAAATAAAAAATTGAAGGCACAAAAAACAAGGATTTTGGATTTAACCGGTTAACCGCAAACCGGACCGTCCAATGCGGTCTGGATTGTGGCCGGTTAAAAAATAAAACCGGTCCGGTTAGACAGGAATAAAAACTAACCGTTAGGTTCGGTTTAGTCATGATTTGGGCTAAAACCAGACCAATCCGGACCGTGAACACCCCTAATTGCCGTGCTGACGAGCTCCGTCTTAAAGATGGTCATCCCGCGGAGAAGGCGGATCCGCGGCGACAATAAAGTGGCAAAACAGGCTCGATTAGGTTAAAATGAATTGGCGATTTTCGTTTTCACGAAGAGAGAGAAAAAAAGTTCAATTTCAACTCTCAAGTTGATGTGGTATAAAAGTAGAAGAAAGATGATTGAAAATAATAAATAGTTAAAAATATGTGAATAGATAAATAGAGAATTAAAGTTGAGGTGATGTGTGAGTGATTAATTAGTATTATATAGTTATATTGATAACATCAGAGAGAACTGAGTTAGATAAAGTTCAGTCAAAATTGGATAATTTCTATAGCTAGTATTGTGATGTTTGTTTGATTGGACAACTTCTCTTACATTTTAATTGGACCAAGTATGGGACTCGAAAAATATCGAACTATTCTAACAGTCAAATAAAATAATTATTCTAACAATAATTATTGATTGGTTGACTTTTTGGAACTAGATCGAATTAAAAAATAATCACTATGTTCTTGGACATTTTACAAATTTCCTTATCGACTACATAGTCAAATCATCTCTTATGGTATGAATCGAACTATAACTTTTAAATAGTTCTTGTCCTCTGATCATTCGTAGAATACACACACACACACAACCATTCGATGTATTCGGGATATTATAGTGGTTGTCAGATTCATTTGATGGTCGTTCAGATTACTCAGAAGTCATGCAGATCATGCGACATTCATTTATAGCGACCATTTGGTGTCAAGGATTTGTTCAGTTTATAACCTCAGTGATAGGTTGAAAGTTTATTCAGAAGACACGTTTCGCTCTTGGATCGAGTTATTCTTACTCGACCAGAGTGGAGGGACTAGATGATATCATACCAGACTAGTTTTATCCAAGAAACCGATTGTACAA